TTAGGCCTTCAAACTCTAGTTGTAATATAAGCATTACAATGATTGAAGATGGTGAAATATCAACCACCTATAACCTACGATTATTATTCAATCCAAGTTAAGTTATATAGTACATACTATTGATCCTACCTTCACAGGTACGATTTGCAGATGATATGATACTTGTCTATTACAGATCAGTTCCTTGACATAGGTTTCAAACTCAATCAGTTCACTATGCATCAAGTTACTTATCATCATTACCTGTTATCAGGGTGATGTGTAGACAAAGCGACCTTACATAGCTTATGCTATAGAAGCTATCATTCTTTATGTAAACAACTATTAATTGGCCATCTTATTCTACAATTTTATGATCTTTAATGTTGTAGTTAGCATAACCCTTATTTTACAAATGTATAGTATTTTTAAGTTCGATAAGCTTCAACATAGCTTGTATCTTCTTGATCGTTTCTGCCACTCGTCATCAAGAGGATTTGTTTTACAAATTAATTTTTAATTGCTGAGAATCCTTTCCTTTACGTAAGCGATAATTTCCTTTAATAAATTCTTTTCAATATTATTATCGTTTAAACTTTAGTTTAATTATTCTTTATCTTTCTTCAATTATTATACTTCTTCTCTTTATTCTTATTATTTTTATGTTAGTTTAAGCTTTTCAAACCTCATATAGTTTCAGTAGTGTCAGCGTCAATAGACCATTAGCAAATGTATATAATACTTTCACTATGAGTATCCAGAATACTATTCGAGTACTAGACATCAACTATTCAATTCTATAAATATTTTCTTAAGTTGTTTATTCTTTCTTTTATTCTTTCTATTATTAATTCTAACTATTATATATCTTTATCTCTTCTGAATATTTCTTCTAAATGTTACTTCTGAATGTTTCTTCTGAATATTATTTCTCTTTATTTTTCCTTAATAATTCATTTCTTTAACTTTTTGTCATATTTCTATTATTTCTTTTAAGTTTTATTTCAGCATTACTTCATTAACATTTTTCTAAAATTAAAATTTATATATAAGTGAAATAACTTTATTTATTTCCATAATTTAATTATTTAACAATTAATTATTTCAAATAAAAATATTCATTTTTATTTGTGTTAAAAGTTTATTTATTAAAATTATTATTTTTTTTTTTATTCTTGGAAAATTGAACTCTTGAACTTGAAGATATTCAAGGTATTTATATACTAAATTTACATAGTAAAAGTGATGAATAGTAACTAAATGTGATGAATAAATTAATTATTTCCACTGTTATATTTAATATTTGTCACTAATTATAATTACCAATGATATATATTCTATCTATTACTACGTGATGTTTAATATTCACTTTTTCTGTTTTTTAGTTTTCTTTTATTCTGAATTATCTGATCTATTACTAAATTCTGTATTACTATTGTTTATTATTTACTTTCAATTCGTTATATTACTTTGTACTTCTGTTGTATTAATTTTACTATTGTTATATTAATTCTTATTTGCTTTCCTTTTAATTCTTTAATGTTTTATTACTTCTTGTTTTTTTTCTCACTTTTTCGGACTTCTATCTTTCTTTCATATTTCATATCGCTAAAAACTTCTGTTCTTCTTCTGATTTCTGTTTCGTTTATGATGTCATGTGTAACATTTATATTATACAAGCTTCTATGTGGTCTAGTTCGTCATTTCCAATAATTATATCTTTGTGTAACCTTCTTGCATCTTTGTGTAACTTCTTCAATTTGTTATTTTTCAAAATATTTTGTCTTTTTATAAGACCCTCCGTTCGGTTAATTAATTATCCTTTTTCCTTCGGTAACTAATTTATTTAAATTACTTTCTTTCATAATTTATCTATCTTATGTAATCTTCCTTTTCAGTCCGTAATTTATCTGAGTATTATACTTTCTTATAATAAAATAATTATCCTTCTTATGTCACATGACTTTTCTTTGTAATTTTTGCTGTATATTATTGATCATTTCCTTTTGTATTGCTGCGTCTTGATTAATGAATTTGTTGACTCTACAACATATATAGTTTATATGCATCCTATGAAATTCATTCCTAGAATTGAACTGGTAATCCTGTAAATTAATTTATTATGATTTGCCTTAGTTAGAGACTGAACGAATTCTATTATAATGTAATCTACAATAGGATCTTAGTTGTTATTAACTGAGATAGGGTGGCGATTTTCCATATAAAATTTGGTTAGACTTATATTTTATATAATACATAGTAATCTTATCTTGTATATCGATTTTTCACTGATCTACTAATTTGATTTTGATGAACTTTAGTTTGTTAGATCGCTGTACTAAGGAGAATCAGAATATAGCATTGGTTTTTGCATTGCCAGCCTACTAAAAAATTTTTTCTACATTCAAATTTCATTAAGTAAGAAACTTTAATATAGATCATTGAATTGTGCAAAATTGGTCTTAATAATTGTACTTCAAATATTTACTAAAAATCATCTAAGTTTTGAAGTTCAAAATAAATATAAAATTAATAAAATCATATTTCTAGCATTGTATATTGTAGTAAGTTACAGACATTTAAAGGCAAGCAATACTAATTATATTTTTTTTAGAAGCTACTATATTAGTATAATCTGTATTTTTTCGTATTTTATAAAATAAAACTTTTTTCTTTTTTTTATAATAAAATAATAGATATTTTAATAACTAAGTTGAATTTCATTTAAAATTATCTTTATTTAAATAATTATGTTATGCAAGTATTAATTTGCATCAAATGCTAATAGAATACTAAATTTAGAAATAATAAATATAATTATCAGTAATGCTATTCTAATCAAGCAAGTATCTAGTAATATTAGCTATATTAATAAATAAAGTTTAATAATAATGAAAAATTGTAAAAAAGAATTTAATATAATATTATAATTTACTTTAAATTACTATATATAAAATTATGCATAAAAATAGAAAATAAGATATGTTCAAAATCTGAAGTATACATATAAAAAAATTAAATTATAATATCATAGTTTCATATGATTAATTATTTTATTACATAAGATATAATATGTGATGATATAAATAAAATGTGATTGATTAATCAGGTTACTGAAATTTGATGGATAGAATAATATAATATTACATTACAAATGCTTAGAAGTAAAAGAAAGGTCTTTCATTATGCTTCAGATAATTATACATATTAAAAATCTATGCATATGAATTTATATATTATTATAAGTGTATAAAATTTATGTATACAATATATATATATATACATTAATTTTTTGAATGCATACTAAAATAGATAAATAATAAACAAAAAAAGTAATTTTACATAAAAAATTATTATGATTTTCTTATTTTAGTAATAATTTTTAAAAAAAATTGTTATAAATATAGATGCTTATTAAAAAATACGTAATCATTTCAAATTTAGTTAAAAATTTCATATTAGTTCTGAGTTAACAAATAAGAAATGTCAGATACTTTGATAATTTTTTCTTTTTCAATATCAATTTTCTATTATTTTAAAGTAAAATTAATAATAAGGAAAATTGGATTATATTATATATTTTGTACTTTGATAGCATAAGTAAGATTTTCTAAGAAATTGAATTAAACAAAAAACTTTCTTAATTTAAAAATCCTTAGTATCTATTGTAATATATGAATAAAGAATTGACAGTCATGTGATTTTCTGCAATAGATTTTTCTTTTATGTCTAAGACATTAGCAATCATATAAAAATACGTAGAAGATATAATAATATTGAAAGAAGTTTTATCTTAGTTTTAATCATGCATTTCAAAATCTTCCATTTTATCAAACCAAATTTATATACATTTTGTTTTAAAAAAAAATGATAACAATAGATTATTATAGAAATATTATTAATATAAAGTTCATTAATATTTTATTCATAAAGATGATTTAAAAGTATGTATCAAATTGTAAGTTATTTATTTAGATAAAATAGGTGTTTCTTTAGAAGTAAAATTAAGGGATAAATCAATATCCATAACTTTATATGGTTTAGTTTTATTATTAGAAGGTTAGTTTCAATTTCTATAGTAATGGTTAGTATTAAAATGATGGAATTAGTTTCAGTTCTAAGTATGATATTTTCAATAATATTATTTATATTTATTTCTGAAGCAGTGATATTTTTTTAGAGTTTGTTCAGTTAAACTATTTGAAAGTTTTATTTTTTATTTGTAATAGTTTGTTAACTTTGGTTAGCTAACTTAAAAGAGAAATTGAAGGTTTTATTTTTATTAATAAAAGTATTATTTCTTTTGTTTTTTTTTGTAAGGTTTTTTTATTTTTATTTTTAGTCTAATTACTGATATGCTAGAAGTAAGAAAGAAATTAAAAACTTTTTTAATTTTAGATTAACTAATCTTAAAATAATCATAATTGTATTTCAAAAATTCAAATCCCTTTATTATTTAAAGTAGAATTTATTAAATTATAGATTGATTGATTCAAAATAAATATAATATAATTCATTATATATATATAGTAATAAGAAATTGAATAGTAGTTATTTAATGAAAATCAAAACATTAATGATTAAGATCATACATTTTTTTATTTATTAGATTTTTTATATACTGTATAAAAAATCGGATATGCTACGAAATCTCGAAATCCAAAATCTCGAAAGGCCAAAATCTCGAAACTCAGAATCCCGAAAAGTTCAAAATCTTGAAATCAAATATCTCGAAATTCAAAATCCCGAATGGTACAAAATCTCAAGTGATACAAAATCTCAAAAAATCATTTGCATATGATATCGCATATTATTATATAAAATTTTAATACTAAAATAGTATAAGCTGATTTTTTTATTACATAAAACAATACAAAAGAAAATAAACACTTCCTTATTAGTAAATTAATATAATTAAAGTTGGTTAATTATATATCACGTGTAATTAGTGTAATTTTTAATAAATATTATCAAGATGAAAACTTATTTTACATCCTTTTATTCTCAAAAATATATTATAAATGGATGAAAATAATGAAATATGTGAAATTATTCCATCTCAAAAAGAAAAAAGTAAAATAAATGTTCGAGGTTACTTAATGACACAAGAAAAAAAACTAAAGGATACATATTATTGGTGTTGTAAAAAAAAAAGCTTGAAAAGGTCGTGCAATAATAAATTTTTATAACGGGTCCCATTATCTTAAAAAATTTGTTGAACATAATCACTCGCCTCAGTCTAGTAATGCTATAGTTGCAGAAATTATTGGACAAATCAAACAGAAAGCTCGTATAACACGAGACAAACCTTCCCAAATAATTCAAGATATTACTTCTAGTATATTACAAGAGTATCAACCTTACATGCCATCTTCTAATGCCCTTCGTGCAAGAATTAATCGTATTAAAAGAGCAGAAATGCCTGCTTAACCACAAACAATTGAAGAAATTAATGTTCCAGATTCACTTCGTTCAACTTTAAATGGTGATACATTTTTAATAAGGGATTGTGAAATTGGTAATAATCAGATTTTACTATTTCTACACAAGCAAATATTTGACGCTTGTCTCAGGCTTCATTTTGGTTAATGGATAGCACTTTCAATACTGTTCAAACGGTATTTCGTCAATTGTATACCATTCATGCATCTGTTGGTGGTGAAAATTCAAGAATTCTTCCACTTGTTTATTCAATAGTAACAAGCAAATCAGAGGAAATTTATAGATGTTTATTCAAAGAATTAATTGACTTTGCAGTAGAAAATGATATTACTTTGCAACCTTTAATCATTCTAACCGATTTTGAGTTAGCATCAATTAATGCATCACGTCATGTATTTCCTAATATTGAAAATAAGGAATGTTTTTTTCATTTATGTCAGTAGGATGGTAAAAAATTCAATCATGTGGACTTGCTACTAGATATGGTGATGATAAGCAATTTAGTTTAATATTATGACATTTATTTGCGATAGCATTTTTACCACCACAGGAAATTCCAGAGGCATTTGATATATTAAAGCTTGAAATTCCTTCAGAAGCAAATGAAGTTGTTCAATGGTTCGAAGATAATTATGTTCATGGAAGGATACGTCGATATCTTCGAAATGACAATATTATTCATTCAGCTCCTTTATTTCTACCATAATTGTGGTCAATATATAATTTAAATGAAAGGGAATTCCATGAACTCAGAATAATATTGAAGCTTGACATCGGCATTTGGAAATTTTGGTTGGTCAAAGTCATTTAGGTGTTTATAAGATGATTAAAGAGTTACAGAAGGAACAGCAAAAGGTAGACTTTCAAGTTGAACGTATCATTCATGGTGAACCACATCCTACAAAAAAAGCCTTAATTGAAAAAGAAAAAAGAATAGTAATGGTACTTAATGATAAAGAAAACCGTTCTATTATGGAATTTCTTCGTGGGATTGCATATAATCTTATGTTATAGTTACGTTTAATATGACAAATTTGTAATAATAATACTTTATATCATGTTTAAAATAATAAATATGATTGATTCATGAAAATTATTTTGAGTTAGTAGGTCATGGTCATTCGTGGGAAATTACTTTGAATTAGTTACATATATATCATGGGTAATTCATAAGTGATACTCAGGTATTTGAATATTATCCTGCTAAAAAATTTTTTATTTATTTGCATAAGTACAATTCCCTCTGATTAAACATTTTTTTCATTATTGTATAAGTAAAATGAATTGCGATATAATAAAAAATTTTTTGTTAAAATCATGTGATATACACTTATATGCCGTAGTATATATATATTTAAAGGATTTTATATCATTCAATAATTTAGACTTCGAGATTTTGTACCATTTGGGATTTTGTACTATTTGGAATTTTGAAATTCGAGATTTTGGAATTCGAGATTTTGACCTTTCGAGATTTTGGATTTCGAGATTTTGGACAGCACCCAATTAAATGGGCTTCCTTACTTCCACGTGAGATATTGCATGTTGTGGTTTTATTTAATTTAATTGGAATTTTAAAGCGAAAGTGTGCAGTTCTACCACTATCTATTAAGAGTGCAGCAATTCTAGATGAAGCTACAGGTAATGCAATTTTACCATGTAATCTGATTTTTGCAAGTATATTGCTATATAAAAATGTTTTACCAGTACCAACTGGGCTATCAACAAAAAAACATTCTGATAAATTATGTTCAATTGCTTGTATAACAGCATCATATATCATATACTGTTCTCTATTTAATAAGGGAATATTATTTTGTAATATATTTTTTAATTGTGTAATATTATATAATGATTTTTCTTCCTGAATTAACTGATTTAAATTGTTATTATAATTATTAATATTTGGCATATTTTCTAATAAAGATGCATATTTGAAAAATCTTTAAGAGATATTTCATTTAATAATAAATATTGGTTTAATTGATTTAATGCTTTATATTTAATTGTATTATTTATTATTATCTTTTGATGATATTGATATAAAATATCTTCACATAATTCTGATTTGTATTTATTCCATAATCTTTCAGGTGATACTGGTTAACAGTATAAAAGGATTATTGCAAATAGATGCTGTAATTGTTGTCCTGTATTTATTCTACTTGCTTCATATAAGCATATATCCCATTCATTATTATTCTGCAGAAGATCTAAATGAATACAGGCTTCTTTAAAGGTTTTACATATATATCCATTAATAGTTTATAAGTTATTAAAACTGGTTGCACCTTTGATATGACTTAGCAAAATTCATAAATAGTATCTTTCTCCTTCTGAAGGTTGAACTATATAAAGCCTTCCAATTAAAGATAGAGCTGTAATTAATTTTAAAATTTTTAACTAGTTGCAACTATTTATGAATTTTTATATTAAAATAAATTTTACAAGGAATTGCAACTTACTGAGTTGCAACTTCTTAATTACAGTACTATCTTTACTTCCAATAGCTTCTGTTGCAGATTTTCAAGGATTTTATTTGTATTGAGTTTTATTCCAAGTATAATGAAATGGAAAATCTGCATATTTATATTCATGTACTGCAGTATTTTCTAAATTTTCTTGAAACTAAGCTGTTAAAGTTGTCATATGTGTAGTAGCATGATTTATAATATGTTGCAAATTGTCTTCATCTTGAAATGTAATAGATTGTTGATTTGGAAGATAAACTGCTAATCTTTGTAAATTTGGAGTATGGTTATGCATTCTATAATGAAAGATTCTCCAAATGCTTTTTGAAGTGGAAATATATCTTGCATTAAAATACATTTTGATTTTATTTATTGGTTCAGTTTCATCTGATAAGTGAGTATTATTAATTTGTGAAAAAGTAACAGTTGTTCAATCATGACCCTTATAAACATATTTATATAAATATTTAATTGCTAAGATAGAATTACAAATTTCAATATTGATGTGAGTATTATATTTTGTAGTTAAACCAATATTATGTGGAACAACCCATCTATTATCTGGGTGAATTCCATTTTTAGTTTCAATAAAAATTCCATTATTACGTCTATGATATATAGGATATCCATTTTCATTTTCTTTAGTATTTTCTTGAAAATTTTTAGGATAATTTTTCTGGAATTTACCATTTTTCATACATGGTGCAAATGGATTTAAAATACCACATGGACTATGCATTATGCAAGATGTTACTATTTCATAAGCAAGTGGATATATTGTAGGATCTGGAATTTTAGCAGAAACAATTGAATCATATTGTTCAATAGAATGTATCTTATCTTTTGAAGCTAATATTAGTAAAATATGTGCATGAGGTAATCCACGTTTCTGAAATTCTACTACGTAAACATAAGCAATGATTTTACCAAACCAATAATTAATATTTAGATCTTTTAACAGTTTTTGTAGTTTTATATGAAATCTCGAGCTGTTAAATCAGGTCTATCAGCAGCATTTTGGTTAAGTAATAATTCTCTAGTAATTTCTGGCCATTTTGGATTACATGTAAATGTTATAAAGAGATCTGGCTTTCCAAAATAACTTACAATAGTCATTGCATCTTGATATAACTGATATATTTGTCGTGGTCCACCAGTAAATGAAGATGAAAGCATTATACGACGTCCAATATTATTACTAATATCTCCAGCATCTATAGCATCTATAGTATCTTGATACATTTTAGTGTAAAGTTTGTCTAATTTAATCTCAGATAATTTAAACGTGCTTGTTCTATTTTAGCATATTAATCAACAATATACTGTTGATATAAACGTCCTGCATATTGTAACCAATCTCTATTTCTAATTTGTAATCTGTAAGAATAAAATTGCATTGGTGTTATTCTTATTTTTCTTAATGATCCTATAAGAGGTATATTTATATGCCAACCATCATCTCCTTTTGGAAATAAAAGTACATAATGTAATAGATCATATGATAGATGAGTTTCAGATATTCTTTGTAAACCTTTATTATGTAATCTAAGACAAATATCTCAATTGGTTAATTCTATATTATGACCATCACCAATCATAATTACAGCTATATCAGAAGAAGCAGGAGCATTATAATGATGTGGATTATGTGTTCTATTACTATGAATTATCATTGAAATTTTAGAAGTTATATTTGATAAAATAATATTTCTTACTTGACGAAAACTTTGAATATATAGATTGCATTTATCTAGCATATTTTGTAAATATAATAAAATATCATGATTTAAATCTTGCATAATATTTATTCGATTTTCATTTTCATGTTCAGTATCATAAATATATAATTGAGTAAATGTTGGAAAATGATTATTTTCTGGCAATAATAATCCAATGCAATGATAAACTTGTCCATAAATTTAAAAGTTAGATATTACTTGTTTTTGAAATTCCTTATTTATATTAGCTTCAAATGATATGCATGTCAAAAGGTTATTATATCCTCTTATATTTTTGTGAAATGAAGTTGTAATAGAATCTGATGAAGTGTATAGATTTAACAAATATGATGGTGGTTTTAACAAAGGTGGTAAATTAACTTTACCACTGGCACAGCATATAGTAAAAGATAGAAATGTTAGGCTGCTATTTTTATCTTTTTCATTTATCCAAAATTTGGCATTACAATAGATGCAAATCTGATCCATTCTTCCCAATTAATGACGTCTTATATCATTATATTGATGATTATTTAAATGATTTATGCCTGCTTTATGCTGGATTTTTTGTCTTTTTTGATAGTAAGATGGTCTTTTTCTATTTAATCTCTTTTTACGCTGTTTAGAAGTTTCACTTTCAAACATATCTTATTAAGAAACCATAGTAAATATCACATATAGTTAATATTAAAAGCTGATAATCAAAAGTTATGATTATTAGGTTACATTTGATAACACATATTTATATAACAAAAAATTTTGGTATCAAAATATAACGATATCATTTGCATTGCATACAGGCGATATTATCTGATATGATACAATATTGTAATTTGAATACATTGTATATTGGCTTTGAAGCTTTTACTAATTAAATTAAATTTATTGTGATTTTCAAATATAGTACAATCTATTATTTCTATTATTTTAAATTTCATATAGGCAATATTATTTAATGTAACAATTTTGAATACATTGTATTTTAGTTTAAATGTTATTAAATGGTAATTTAATTCAAATGTAATACAATCTATTATTTTTGATTAAATTGTATACAAACACAATGAGACATATGGTACAGCCTTGCAATATGAAACTTACTATAATAAGCTGTCAGCAAATGTGATTTGTGGTATCGTCTGATAGTATGTGTTTATTCATATTAATTGTTTTCGTTATTGTCTAGTTCAACAAATTTCTGAATATAGCACAATCTATTATTTCTGATTAAATTGTATGCAGGCACATGGCAAAGTCTTGCAATATTAAACTTACTAAATAAGCTATTATCAGGTGTGATTTGTAATTACAACTATATTATTTTGGTTCATTTATATTAATATTGCTATTTTAATAAGTACTAATTCAATTTTTTCAAATTTAGTACAATTTATTAATATTATGGTATAGCTGCATATTGTTGATTGTAGTGATCCGATTCTATTTTTAACGATCCATCTGAATCTAATCTTTTCCGATTTAAGGATTTATCCTTAATTTTGGATTTATTTAGATTCATCCTAATTCAATTTTTAAGGATTATTGTCACTGAGTTTCTTTCTTTTTTATTAAAATTAAATAAATTTCGGACAGTAAGTAAAGGAAAAATTTTTATCTTTAGGAATAGCAATTTTAATAGACTTCTAGGAATTAGTATTTTTATTTTTAT